AGATAACATCCATCTTCTTGTGTATCAAATGTCGGCATTCATGGATGAATGTGCTTGATATAAAATGCATCATCAAAATGATGGTTTTTCACATATCACCACTTTTTTCACTTTTTTTTAACCACCTTCATTCCTCAGCAATGTTCATTGTTTTAAAAAGTGATAATTAGAATTGTACTAAATTATGATGAAATCTAATTTATGCATTTTTATTTTTTGAGAATTTACAACAAAAATATTTTACATTATGTTATGGAGTAAGAGTACATCCCTCGGTGACTCTATGAACTCTTCTAATACTATAAAGTGTTCCATGGTATGAGGTTAGTGGTACTAGTATTGGAGTCTGTCTTCCTACTTATTATACAGTTGTACAGCAATAGCCTAAGCATCACATATAAAGAATACTACACAAATTACATTATACTAAGTATGGGTATGTGTTATAACAATAACCTTACAAAAAGAAGTTATAATAGTTAATGACAAGAATGTTTTGAATACAAGCATGGGGTAAAAATTGCAACATTATGACATAAGAAAATTTCTCTGATTTAACCAGTAGAGAAGACAATATTTATGAATAAAAATGACAAAATAAATTCGTATTTTCCTTTGATAAAGTCCACATTGGACGAAACGCGTCAGCAATTACCAGTTTTTCTATTGTCATTTTTATTTATAAATTATGACATAAATTATAATACAAGTGCAGGATAAAATCACAACATTATAACTGGAATTATAATAGTTGGTGTAGGAGTTTGAGCTCGAGAGCAGAATAACAAGCATCACATTATAACTAGAGCAACCAAATTTTCAAAACTCATACATTTTCAACCACGTTGGTTTAAAAAAAAAAAAAAAAAAAATTTTTTTTCTTGCAGATATCGAGAAAATTTTGCCTTTGATAGTTGAAATACAACAACAACATAACCAAAACTTTCAAAAACAAGAGTTGTTGGAAAGAGTTTTGAAGAAGAATGCTTCAACACCTCTTAGACCAGTTGTGGTGCAAAACACCATATCAGAATTTGTATACGATCCTGATGATGGACTGACTTATGCTGCATATTTTTGCAGACATGAAGAAATATTTAGTCAGGAATGCAGTGGCTGGGAAGAAGATAAGAAAAATAGCTCCAATAGAGTACAAAAAGTACTGCAATTATGTTTTAGCAAGAAAACCAGGTGAAATAGTTTGAAGACACAGTACACAATTTGACAAATTTTTAGTGACATGTGCTTTCTGTTCCATGCTCGTTGAAGGTGCATGAATTTAACCAAAAAAGAGGATGATTATTTTGTCATGAATGTGGGTACTCTCAACAGAAAATGTGAACAATTTAAACTAAAGGAAAAGACTCCAGATATGTTCAAAGTATTAATTTTCATGCAAGGTCTAACAGTGGAAAAAGATGCTGAAGTATGAATTAAAATTTTATCAAAGATTGAACATAATAATAATAATGTAGCACTACAGAAAATAGTGGACAATTGCCAAACAATGCTAAGTCTGAAGAAGGGTGCTGAAAAACTTCACAATAAAGAATGAGCATTGGTAAAAGCTAAAGAAAAATGTGCCAAAAGGAATATGACATTTTTCAGATGTAGAAAATTTCAACTTTGCAAAGACTGTCTATAGAAAAATGCAGAGTGATATAAATGTGGTAAAAAGGGACATATCAAACCACATTGCAAAACTAAACCAAAAAAAATTTTCACAGGAAAAATTTAATACACAATATTGCGACAAAAAAAATAGTCACATGAAACAAAAGAAAATTTGTTAATGTGCAAATCAGTAATGTGGGATTAAAAATGTTATTAGATACTGGTAGTGGCATTTCAATAGTAAATGAAACCACATGGAAAGAAATTGGTAAACCTTTATTAAAAAGGACTTACACAGTCGCAACTTTTTTGGGAGAATTAATGTCATGTTTATTTTTGCAAGAAGCAGGTAAAAACTAAAGCTTATGTTCTAGAAAATGTGATGAATCTGTTCGGTACAGACTGGATGGAACTATTGGAATTGTGGGATTTGCTGATAAATGCTTATTGTAAATATGTAAGTGGACAAGTGACAAATTTAAAAAGTTAAAGTGAAAAATTAAAGGAAGAATTAAAAAAATGTTTTCCTGGTATTTCGTATAATGAACTGTCTGTATTCAAAATTCAAGGCAAATTTTCAAGTAAAAAAGGTTTGATGCCAGTATTTAAACTGAAACAGAGCATACCATTTACAGCATTAGGACAAGTAAATAAAGAGTTGAACAGACCAGAAAGAATTGGTGTCCTGCAGAAAATAAATCCTTCAAAATGGGCTGCACCAGCAGTGTATGTAAAGAAAGTGAAAAAATTCTCAACTGGATTAAATAATTGTCTCAAAACACACAATTACCCATTACCAAGTCCAGAAGAAATTTTTTCAAAGTTGAATGGCGGAAAAATATTTTCAAAACTGGATCTCTCTGATTCTTCATATTTACAAATTTAGATGGAAAAATGAATGTTCTGAATATAAATATGTACAGAGATTTATATAAGTTTAATTGACTTCCTTTTGTTAAAAAGGCAGCACTAGCTATTTTTCAACAAGCCATGGATATCGTGCTGGTGGATTTTGATTTCGCAGTGGCATTTTTGGATGATATTTTGATCAAAAGTGTGTTGAAAGAACATGTCGGACATATCAAAACAATCCTGCAAAAACAATGAGAATACAGATTCAAGCTTAGTGAAGAAAAATGTGAATTGTTTTTGCCAAAAATAAAATACCTGGGATAAATTATTGATAAAAATGATAGGAAACGAGATTCATCGAGAGCAAATGCAATTTGAAATATACCTACACCAACAAATGTAACTACATTACGCAGCTTTTCTAGGACTGATTAATTGTTATCGAATTTATGTACATAATATACATAATTTGACAGCTCTACTTAACAATCTACTGAAAAAAGGAGTAAAGTGGAATTGGGATCATAAATGTAAAAAAGCATTTGACGAGATGAAATGAAAACTTTCGCTCATGCTTGTCACCTGTTTTTGCTAGCAGAGAGAAATTATAGCCAGATAGAGAAAGAAGCTCTAGCAATCATATTCACTATGAAAAAATTCCATAAATTTATTCCTGGAAGACATTTCACATTTCAAATAGACCATAAACCGTTATTAGCAATATATGATTCAAAGAATGAGATATATATATAGCTAATAGATTACAGCACTGGGGTACCATCCTGTTAAATTATAATTTTATGATGGAGTACCAACCATCTAAAAAAGTCAGGGCATACGGATGGATTATCTAGGTTAATACCTAAAATGCGGAAGTATTGGAGGACACAGTCATAGCAGCACTAAAAGGCAAAATGGAAATTAGAAACATTCTGTGCAATGTAGTATGGGAATTACCAATTACAATGTATGAAATTAAAGAAAAAGCAGAAAAGCATGTTTTTATTGCTAAAATAAAGAAGCAATTAAAAGAAACTAAAATGTACAGAATCAAGAATTGAACACATTCAAATATGCGATGGTGTTGTAATGTACAGACAAAGAATTGTAATACTGAGTTCTTTACAGAAACATATGTTAAAGGATTTTCATTCCAGACATCCTGGCATTTTAAGAATGAAATCTTTCATAAGGAATGTTGTTGACTGGCATGGACCAAGATATCAGAAAAACAGTAAAAAAAACAAAAAGTATGTAGAGGTTGTGCTCTAGCAGCAAAACTACCTATCACAAAGATCAAACCTTGGCCAAAGACATTCTGTAGTCAAGATTGCATATAGATTTTGCAGGTCCTATGGATGGAGCATATTATTTAATGATAGTTGATAGTTTTATGAAATGAATGAAAATTTAAAAGTACAAAAATCCTACATCCTTGATGACAGTGAATTTCTTGCAGGAACTGTTACAAGATATGGCATACCAGATACAATATTATTGGATAATGGAACACAATTCACTGGAAAAGAATTTCAAGACTTTTGCAAGTTCTTTATAGAACATATTATGACCCCACTGTACAACCCAAGGTCTAACAGACAAGCAGAATAGTTTGTGGGAATGTTCAAATTGAAAAAAGCAAGTCTGGACAAATTAAATGAGGAGTCACTTCAAAATTTTTTGAGAGTGGATGCATTAACGCCTAACCCCAACAAATCATCAAGCATGTCGCCAGCAGAATTAATGTTTGCCAGAAGAGTAAAATTGGTGTTCAACAAGTTATTGCTAAGTTGAAAATCATGAATTGTTAATAAAAGCGATACCAATACTTTCAAGGTTGGTGATAAAGTATTCTTTAGAGCATACAAGGATGGAAATGTAACATGGGAAGATGGCATAATAGTAGCTGGAATTGGAAAATTGGTCTACATGGTAAAAGGAAAAAGAATTCCAACATAAAAGGCACCAAAATCAGCTGAAGTAAGCTTGGACAGTCACATCGACTTGACTGATAAGGACTTTGATTTGCATATTGAGTCTTTACACTATAATGTTAGCTATCTATCTAATTCAGTTTTTTATATAATGTAACCTCAGTACTTAGCTGTTACAAGTATTTCCAAGACTAAAAACCTTCCTGGAGCCAAGCCACAAGCTTAATTATATTCTGTTTATTAGCAGCAGCAGGGGCCTTTCTGTTCTTGCCTAGTATGTCATTGCCATACAAACAAAATCGGACAAGTGATTAATGTAAATAATATATGGTACCAGTATGTGAGGGATGCATGGTGAATGTGTTGTTGTATGAGAATGACTTTTTTTTTTTCTTAGAAATTTCTTTCCAATATTAGGGTGCGTCTTCCAATCTGCAGTGTCTTGTAAGCTGGAAAATACGGTAATCTTTTTTCCTTTAGATTTTTGCACTAATATAAGTTTGTTTTTTGTGTTATCTTAAAAAGCTGTTTTCTATTTTAGTGATTGTTAAATATTAATTACAAAAATATTTATTTATTCTTTTTTTTTTGTTTTTGCAGTGGCTTTGTGATTGGTGTACGAGAACTTGGAAACTACTTTAAGGATGATGAATTAACTACTGTAAGTATCAAGTCATTGAAAATTTTTTTTTTTTTCTTCTTAAAAGGGTAACTTAGTAAAGTTAGTATAAAAATATATATACAATTAGTGAAATTTTTTAAAAATTTTTTTTAAGGAGGGTTTGCAGTAATTTACTTTTGTCTATTAAGATCAAAGTAACTTTGAAAAGTAATAGATAATCACTATTTGAAAACATTGTTAATAAAATTTGGAAGATTCATTTTTTTTTTTTTTTTTTTTTTTTACATAGTAGTGAAGTTATAAACTGATCACAACCATTTCTTGAATTTGTTATATTCCTTACACTGAAAACTGTAGTAAGATTATTTCATTATTTTATATTTAGTAGATCCTCCAATTTTTTTTTTTAAACTGTGGATAAAACTGACTCTGAAAAATGCATCTGACTCTGAGTAATATTTGATTAACTAATAAAAACTGTATTTTGTGAATATTATAGTACTTTTTTTCATCATGCTCAGAACATAAAACACTGCAAGATCTTAAAATCAACTACATATTTTTGTTTATAAAGCAAATATCAATTGGATATATAATCTTTTAGGTAGTTACCTTATTTTGAATTATATCAAATTAGAGTTTTTAATAATAGAAAGTATATCATATTACAAAGCATGAAAGGAACATACGTTAAGAAAGGTGAAATATTGCAAGAACCTGGATGCAAATTTGTGGTGGATGCTTCAGATACAGAATGCGGCAGAAATAACTCTCCCATATAATGGTAAAACATTATTGACAATGTCTTCATCTAGCTAATGTCTTACCATTATTTGGGAAATATTTGTGGGAGGTATATGCCTGTATTATAAATTTTCTATACATGTTCATCTTTATAATTAATTTTAATTGAAAAAGAGAATAATTTACTAAGACGAATACGATGGGGGGGGTGACCAATCATTTTCTGTGTGACAAGCCCATAGTAATTCAGGCTTCCACCATTAAATACCACTTGAAGCATCCCTCAGGCATCAGTGTTCTAACTGGTGTCATCATGGGAAGACATACAGCTCCATGGTTCACATTTGTTTTGAAGTGTTTCATGCCTTTTTGTCTATTTTTACAATGGCTGAAAGGAAGGCGCAGCATGCTGCTGTGAAATTCTGTTTTTTGCTGGGGAAAACAGCAGCTGAAACAGTTGTCATGCTTAAAATAGCTTACAATGATGCTGCTATTAGTAAAACATAAGTTTGAGTGGTTTGCATGCTTTAGGAATGGTCAATTTTTGCCAGAAGACCAGCTTCATTCAGAGTGACCTTCAACCACCCAAACAGTTGAAAGCATCATGAAAATTCATGAAATGATCTTGGAAGACTGTCGCTGAACAATTGACAAACTTGTTGATTTGACTGGTGTGTCCTGGAGTTCATGTCAATGAATTTTGACAGAGGAATTGAGAATGAAAAGAGTTGCAGCGAAAATGGTGCCTTGCTTGCTCACAGATGATCAAAAGCAGCCACGAATGCCTGTTGTAAACTGAAAAAACAGTTGGAAGTTGATCCAGACCTTTTTTTTGAAGATCATCAATGGTGACAAAAGCTGGTGCTATGGCTACGACCTGGAAACGAAGCAGCAATCAAGTCGGTGGAAGCATGCAATGTCACCACAACCCCCAAAAAGTGCATCAAGTGAAGTTCAATGTCAAGACTATGCTGATTTGTTTCTTTGATGTGAAAGGAATTGTCCACAAAGAATTTTGTTCCTCCTGGTCAAACTGTTAACCAGGCTTTTTACTTGGAAGTCCTGAAGTGTTTGCAAGACAAGGTGAGATGAAAACACCCTGACCTGTGGCAAAGTGGAGAGTGGTAGTTGTATCATGACAATGCGCCAGTGCACACTGCCTTGGATGTGAGACAGCTTTTGACCAAGAATGGCATGACCCCACTTCTCTACCCTCCCTATTCACCTAATCTTGACCCTGCAACTTTTTTTGTTCCCCTGAATGAAGAAAGTCTTCAAAGGACATCGTTTTGAAGATGCAGAAGAGGTTAAGAAGAAAATGACTGAGTCATTAAAAAACATAATTTCACAAAAGTTCCAGGACTGCTTTGAACAGTGGAAAACATATCTGGACTGGTGCATTGCTTCAAATGGAGAATAGTTTGAAGGTGATAAGAATATAAACATGCAACAATAAATGAATAAAATCATATGACACAATTCCGGTTACTTTTGGGTCCCCTTTCGTATATGGAAGGTGCACTAGTATCTGTATCATCCAAGGTAAGTTTGCATCAAGGTTTATATATATATATATATATATACACACACACACACACCTTGACCTTTTTATATATATATATATATATATATATATATATATATATATATATGATTTCAGGTAGATTATATTTGCAAAAGGACAATATGAGAAAAGAGAAAATGAGAACTTATCTTAGCTGACGCGTTTCGTCCTCTGAGGGACTTTATCAAGGCAAATGTAAGGATTTTATTTTGTGACACGTATTTAGATACAAGAGCAAAGATGTTATTAGTTTATCAAAATTTTTGGGTGCTCATGAATATTCCTCAGGTTAGTGAAAGAGTCAAGATACATGACCACCAAAAATGTGAAAAAAAATTAAAAGAAAACAGTTAAATCCATAATCTCATGTTATACAAAACCCATAACACATAAATCAATCCCAATCCAAAATAATTTAGGTACTATGTGTGTGTGTGTGCTCACACACACACACACACACAAAAAAAAAATACCCCTTACTCACTCTTGTTTTTCAGGCATTGAACTGTATCACTTCATGTCCATGAACTTGTCTGACTTTTCCACTAACCTTGTAAATATTCATGAGCACCCTTATACCAAAAATTTTGAAAAACCAATAACATCTTGCTCTTGTATATAAATACCTGTTGCAGAATAAAATCCTTACATTTGCTTTAATAAAGTTCCTCAGAGAACAAAACACATTGGCTAAAATAAATATTCCTTTTGTCTTTTCTTATATATAAAATGTCTGTGTGTATGTTAAAATAGCATCTATATATCTTTTTTGGAATAAGGTTGAGATGGGATCAGACTTCATAAAGCAATTTTAAATAAACCAACAGATATTCAAAGACTTAAAAACAATTGGAGTCCTTTTTTTAAATTTGCGATTTTTTTTTTCTCTCTTCACAATGTTTCTTTATATTCAATTCATGTATATGTTAAGAAATATCAGATTTTGTTGCAGAGTGTAGGTTAGCCTTATTCAAAATAAGTAAAACAGTATTTTCATTTAAAGGAGTGTCTTTTCATACAATTCAATTCGGGTATTATAATTGTGAGCTCTGAAAATGTTAGATAAACTAGATCAATGGTTGAAGCTTTTATGCATTTTCAAATATATAGCCTTCAACTTGGCTTAGAGTTAAGCAACAAAAGTGAGATCATAAATTGAAAAACCATAAACTAAATGCACTTTAAAATGTATTCTACAGAAATATGAAATTAAGTTCCCATTCTTCAATATTTTCCCTAAAATAAACATTAAATTACTATAATTGTTTTATTAATTTAAAAAAAAAATATTGTAAAAAAATAAATATGCAATTAATTGAAATTTGTCAATTACAGATAATGGCATCAATAATTTACTAATTTGGAATTGTCAAAACATTGAACACACTTTGATAAAAAGAATATTTAATAAACTAATTTTAATAAGTACCGAAGTCCTTCTGCTAACACTCTTCCTTTACAAGAGCCAGATCAGGACAAAAATGGAGTACTGCTGCCATATATGAACAGGAGCTGCCCAGTCTTCACTTTCCAGTCTCAATAGAGCCCAAAAGCGTCTCCACTATCCTCTGCCTTTACAAGAGACAGATCAGGCTGAAAATGAACTACTGCTGCCATATATGGGCAGGAGTTGTCCAGTCTTCAATTTCCAGTCTCAATAGACCCAAAAGTGTCTCTGCTCTCCACTGCCTTTACAAAAGCCAGATCATGCCGAAAATGGCGTACTGCTGCCATATATGAACAGGGGCTGCCCAGTCTTCACTCTCCAGTCTCGATAGAGACCAAAAGCGTCTCTGCTATCTTCTGCCTTTACAAGAGCAGGATCAGGCTGAAAATGGAGCAGTGCTGCCATATATGAGCAGGAGCTGTCCAGTCTTTTTCTTCCAAAAGCGTCTCTGCTATCCTCTGCCTTTACAAAAGCCAGATCAGGCCGAAAATGAACTACTGCTGCCATATATAGGCAGGAGTTGTCCAGTCTTCATTTTCCAGTTTCCATGTCCTTGTTGGTGATTAATTATTTTCTACCCTACAATCCCTTTCCCACAGATGGAACATTGCAAGCCTCTTGCTAGCCTCTCTTACTATTTCCATGAAGAGTGTTCAAACTACATTTCTTAGTTCCACCAGTTCTAACCTTCATGACTAAGACATGCTATGCCATGCACATAGTAGTGAACCATTCTCATTCTCTTCATATTCCATTGGTGAGAAGTAAGTTCCACTGTAATAGCTTCTTCCCATGAACTGTTACTTTGTTGAACTGATTCCCAAGAGGATGTTTCTTTGATCACTACAATTTTAACCTGTTCTGTCTAGGAATAACAGATATCCCCATAAACTGTGCCTCTTACTCCTTACTTTATAACTCTCTTCCTTGAGTGGCTCTTGAGCCCTGGGCATTTTTGCCAAAAAAATTATTAAATTTATATCACTATAAAGTAGAACAATAGAAAACCTGATATTTTTTTTGTTGAAACTATTTTGTTGTGTTTGGAATTTGTTGACATTAATTACAAAAAAAAACGCAAAATCAATTGGAGAATTTCAATGCCAAAGTTCACATTTTAAAATTCTACTAATTGATGGAATTTAATGAAACTTTTGGTATTTGTTCATTTTATTACTGAAGGAAATTGAAATTTCAATGAAAAAAAGAATATTGTAACTTTTTGAAATATTATAAGTCAAGTAAGAGATGTATATATAAATATAAAAGTGGACATTGAAATCA